CAGGCCATTGTAGGGGTCTGAGAGCCAACACCTCGTCCATCTTCAGTCACTTCGCCCTCGTTAAAGACTGGCCAGCAAGAGGGGGCGTGTCAAGTTTGACTACTTGGTCTCAAGAGCAGGCATCCAATGAAAACCCATATGTGTGAATTCTCCATCTCCGTACTGAGAAAAGGCGTTCAGGTAAGACAACGCCCCTTCTGATTATTTTTGAGCCCACCCCCTGCTCTTGGTTCCATTGCAGAAACTAATAAACTATCAGCATCTAAGACAGTGATGGCAAACCTTTTAGAGACCGTGCCCAAAAACTGCCCCCCGCTCCACCCCCTGCCCCGCCCCCGGTCCGCCCCCCATCCTCCACGCCGCCTGCCCGCAGGGCCACTTACCGCCTCCAGGGCCCGCAGCAGATCGCCCAGGCAGCCCAGCAATGCTATGATGGTCACGCCCTCTGCCCGTGCCCTGCAGCATCAACTGTGCACGATGAGGTGTGAGGGCAGAGTCTTGTCTACGCTGCCTGGCTGCCATGTCCTTGGCTGCGCTGCTCCGCGTGGGCCGCGCTCGGGGGCGACTCTCCTCCAGGGGGGCTGCTGGTGAGGAGGGGGTCACGGGGGAAGGCAAGGCTGGGGCAACGGCACGTGTGCCCACAGAGAGGACTCCGAGTGCCACCTCTGGCATGCGTGCCCTAGGTTCCCCACCATTGGTCTAAGATCAGCAAGAAGGTATAATCTGAGTTCTTGTGACGGATGCCCAATTACGTCGCCTTTTTGAGTAGGATTAGTCTTTATTTCTACAGTTTTCCTTTAATCCCCCCCAAAACTACATATCGTTTGGAATATGGTTACGACAAAGAAGCTGCAGGAAAGCCTGAAAACTCTTTTCCAGTTCCCAAGAAATTTGTGTATATTTATTGTGGTTTTTATTATCGCCTGTTCACCGCCCTGAGTCCCGTAAGGGAGATAGGGCGGTATATAAATTCAATAAATAAATAAATAAATAAATAAACTGAGTAAACTTTATTGAAAGATTAAGCAGAAAAGAATCAGAAACGGCCCTTCGTTTTTCGAAATAATCGTAAGGGGTTAAAATGTAAGATTGCTTCCTATTGTGTTTATTAGACCGCAGTTTCATAAAGCAGGGGATTTTTACAGGAAACCCCCGGAGCGCTGTATCAAAGCCAGGATAAAACTTCACAAGGGTTCTGAAGATTAAACAAACTTTTTTAAAACCACTGGGTTTCCTTATTGAAGGGAAACACCCAAGGACCAATACTTCGGTCTTTAGGCCTTGTTTCTGGAAAGGAAGTCATGTCCTTTGTTGGGATGGTGTGTAGGAATGATCTTGGGAGATGGGAATAGGGTAGGGCAGGGGTAGGCAGCCTTGGCTCTTTTATGACTCGTGGACTTCAACTCCCAGAATTCCTGAGCCGGCCTGGCTCAGCATGGAAACCTCTCCCTTTCTCCTCAGCATGGCTGACTCAGGAATTCTGGGAGTTGAAGTCCATGAGTCATAAAAGAGCCAAGGTTGCCTATCCCTGGGATAGGGGAAGAGATGGTGCCTAGGGCAGGAATCCCAAAACCTGTGGGCCATGGCCCACTAGTGGTCTGTGGCCTATTTGCAACCGGGCTGTGTGAGTGGCTGGTTGGCGTATGCGCATGAGTGCGCGCATACACAGCCCCACTGACGCGACTGTCACGGGCACTTGGGGCCTCATTTGTGCAAGCATCACGGGCCCTTGACGCCTCAATCACACGAGCATTGCGGGTGCTCAGGACCCCACTTTCTTGAGCGTCACGGGCGCTCAGGGCCCCCATCGTGCGCGAGCCTCATGCGTCATAGGCGCTTAGAGTCTCAATCACACGAACATTGCAGGTACTCATGGGCCCACCCTGCGCGAGCGCTTGGGGCCTCACTCGTGCGAGCGTCGCGGGTGCTCTCTGTCCCTCTCGCGAGAGCAACAGGTGCTCGTGCATGTGCGCGTAAGTGCCTGCCCCACCCAGAAAACTATCCCCTCTTTCCCCCCTCCTTGCCCTCCGAGCCGCCAACCCAAAATGTGGGGGAACTCTGGCCTAGGGAACGATCAGACGGCAAGATGGGGAGCCCACAACTGCATAACATACGGAGAAATAGGCTCAGGAGGGACCACCCCTCCCAAGTTCTTAGGCTGTAAAAGAAATGGCGGGAAATTTATACTTCCAGATTTACGAGATTCTGTTAATGTAACCTTACCATATCGGTAGTCCTCGATTTACAATCATCAGTTTAATAACCATCCGAAGTTACAACAGCAATGAAAAAAGTGACTTATGACCGGTTTTTTTACTTAGACCATTGCCCTGGTTGCTTGACAACCGGCATGTGTGTACAACGATTGCACTGTTGTGGGGTCCTGTGATCACCGTTTGTGGCCTTCCCAGCTGGCTTCTAACTGCTTAAAATTATGACGGGTCACCCCCCACACACACACACCAAATTTTGAAATTACAACAGCTGCACCCAGGCACCCTGTGGTTACATGATTGAATTTGGGCGCCTGGCCAACAGGCTCCCCTTTATGGCTGTTTACAGTAGCCTGTCCCGTTTCCAGGGTATACTTTTGATTTCTGCCAAAAAAATGCCCCTTGGGTCAACGTCAATGGGGGAAGCCAGGTTCTCTTTAACGATCATGGTGATTCACTTAACAACCATGGCAAAAAAGGTCATGAAATTGGGCACAACTCAGATAACAACTGTGTTGCTTAGCAACGGAAATAATAGGATAGGATAGAATAGAATACAATAGAATAGAACTTTATTTAGAATAGAATAGAATAGAATAGAATAGAATAGAATAGAATAGAATAGAATAATATGAATAGAATATAATATAATAGAATAAAATAATATGAATAGAATAGAATAGAATAGAATAGAATGAAATAATATGAATAGAATAGAATAGAATAGAATAGAATAGAATAGAATAGAATATATGGAATTGAAGAATAGAATAGAATAGAATAGAATAGAATAGAATAGAATGAAATAATATGAATAGAATAGAATAGAATGAAATAATATGAATAGAATTGAATAGAATAGAATAGAATATATGGAATTGAAGAATAGAATAGAATAGAATAGAATAGAATGAAATAATATGAATAGAATAGAATAAAATAAAATAAAATAATATGAATAGAATAGAATGAAATAATATGAATAAAATAGAATAGAATAGAATGAAATAATATGAATAGAATAGAATAGAATGAAATAATATGAATAGAATAGAATAGAATGAAATAATATGAATAGAATAGAATAGAATATATGGAATTGAAGAATAGAATAGAATAGAATAGAATGAAATAATATGAATAGAATAGAATAGAATACCATAGAATAGGATAGGATAGGATAGGATAGGATAGGATAGGATAGGATAGGATAGGATAGGATAGAATGAAATAATATGAATAGAATAGAATAGAATAGAATAGAATAGAATGAAATAATATGAATAGAATAGAATACCATAGAATAGAATACAATAGAATAGAATAGAACTTTATTTAGAATAGAATAGAATACCATAGAATAGAATAGAATAGAATAGGATCTTGGAGGTCTTCTAGTCAAGCCCCCTCCTCGAGCAAAAGAACGTATACCATTTCAGATTGGCTGAATGTTGGGCTCTGTTGTGGTTGTGAGTCGAAAACTACCTGTAGTATTTAGCACAGTGTAAAAAAATACAGTGCTTGAATACCTTCTAAAGTCTTACCGTTCTTTGCTTCAGACTATCAAAGTGACCTTGGATGTCCATCTGAATGGCTCGGCTGGAGACATCCTGGTTTTTCTGACAGGTAAGTGTTCCTTTGCTCCCAGGTTAGATGCTACCCTGTGGAGAATCACTATGCTCCTTCATATATAGGGAGTCCTTGACTTAAACAAGCATAATTGAACCTGGTATTAGGGTCATAAGGCACTGTGGGTATTAAGCAGGTGACCAAACCTGATTTTTTTAAAATTTCTGATGGTGGTTGCCTTTGGAGATCCTCAGTCATCCAGGTCATGGTTGTCCCAAAGATGCTTTTTCAGGAGACAACTGGACTTTCTTGTTTTTCTTTGAAGATGTTTCACTTCCCATCCAAGAAGCTTCTTCAGCTCTGACTGGATGGTGGGGAATGGGAGGATTTATACTCCTTGCAGACAGCTGGTCATTTGCATTCTCTTAGAAAGTCCTTGAGGCCACCTGGAGGTTTGCCTGTGTCCTCAGGGTCACCTGAGTGGTGCAAATGGGTGGGGAGCCTTCTTGGCTGCAGGATGTTTTCTGTCCTGTGTGCCTTCAGCCTGCGCCTGTCTTCAACAGGGAAGGGACCCAGGTCTGCAGCTTAAAAGTAACACCTCCCCCCCTTAATCTAAAGTTGAAATGCAGAGGCACGTAGCTGCCAAAATTTCATCCTTGACACACGCCCCATTATACCACCTTTTTATCATGTTTATCAAGTGAATCACTGCAGTTCAGTAAACCATGTGGTCATTAAACGAGTCAAGCTCCCTCCATTGACTTTTCTTTGGAAGCCGGCTGGGAAGGTCGCCAGTGGGTGATCATATGACCCCCAGGACATCGCTGGAACCATATTAAATACATGCCAATCACCCAACATCCAATTTTTGATCACACGACCGAGGTGACGATGCAGCTGTCGTGAGTGTGACTCCCTGGCTGCAAGTCACTTTTTTTTCAGTGTCATTCTAACTTTGAATGGTTGCTAAATGAACGGTTCTTAAGTTCCAAGTCTGCCTGTGTTCTTTCTCACGGTTCTTCAGAACAATGTCTTAAAATGAGTTTGTGGTTTCGCACTAGGGCAATCGGAGATTGAAAGAGCTTGCGAGCTTCTTTTCCAAAAAGCCGAGATGATAGATTACCGCTTTGACGTAAGAGAGCGCTCCGTGGAAGGCTTACTTATCTTGCCCCTGTACGGATGCATGCCAACAGGTGAGAGAATTTCTTTTATTGCCTGTGTTTGGATTTTCTTGCTGTGAGTCCTCACACCTACTGCATTTTGCAGCATTCGAGCCGTGGTGGCACACAGTGGTTAGGATGCGGTATTGCAGCTAACTCTGCCCACTGCCAGGAGTTCGATCCTCACCGGCTCAAGGTCGACTCAGCCTTCCATCCTTACGAGGTTGGTAAAACGAGGACCCAGATTGTTGGGGGCAAAATGCTGACTCTGTAAACCGCTTAGAGAGGGCTGTAAAGCACTGTGAAGCGGTCTATAAGTCTAAGTGTTATTGCTATTCTCTAAAAAGTTGTGAGAAAATTTTCTTTATCCTTTTTTGAAATCTCATCTGGCTCCCGGAGGTGTGGAGTTTTTTCTTTTTTTCTTTCTTTTTTCTTTTTTTTATTAAAAGTTTTATAAAGATTACAATATAATCCCCCTCCCCCCCAAAACCCCCCTCCCCCCACTTCCCAGAGCTATTCACAGGGTTAACAAATAATAATCATAATCTAAGTAACATTAACCAACTATTAAGTTACAAATCTATAAAACACTTTAACTCCCTTTTTATATAAATTTAAGTAAATTAAAGTTAAACACAGTAATAAACAAATAATAATATCATAATAATAATTAAAAATAACAAAAAATAAACTATTATAAAATATTAATAATACTCTAAAATTTACTCAAAAACCAAATGGAACTTTTTAGTCCCATATTTATTCTGAATATAATCTATCCATCTTCTCCAAACCGAAATATATCTTTCTTGTGAATGGTCCTTCACATAAGCGGAAATCTTGGCCATTTCTGCTAAATTTGACACTTTAAACGACCATTCTTCTATAGTAGGCAAACGATCCGTCTTCCAATATTGAGCTACCAATAATCTTGCAGCTGTTATAAATTCAACATCAAATTCGTTTCTTTAATATCCAAATCTTCCATAATACCTAACAAAAATATCTGTGGTGCAAACTTTATCTTTTTCTTTAAAATATTTTGAATATTCCACCAGATTTTAATCCAAAATGCTTTTATTTCCCTGCATGTCCACCAAATATGAAAATAAGTTGCATCTAAATTTCCACATCTCCAACACTTGGGTTGTAAATTAGGATACATGCAGGACAATTTTTGAGGATCCAAATGCCACCTATAAAACATTTTATAAAAATTTTCTCTTAAATTTTGAGCTTGAGTAAATTTTACATTTCTAACCCAAATTATCTCCCATGTATCCAATGAAATCGGTTCTTGAATATTTTGAGCCCATTTTATCATGCAGTCTTTAACCAATTCCGTTTCCGAATCCAATTCTATCAAAGCATTATAAATTCTCTTTATGTGGGATGTGGAGGTTTTTCAAGAAAAAAATTGGACAACCATTTAAGTAGGATTGTATAAGGTCTCCTGCCCGCGGCAGTGGGTTGGACTAGAAGACCTCCATGATCCCCTCCAGCCCTATGATTCTGGGAAAAGAGAAACTGGTGTTTTGCAGGGGCCTTGGGACCTATTCTTGCTGCCCTCTTAGTGCGCTTGGCTACAGTTCCCAATATCTTCAACTGTGCTGGCTGAGGATGATAGCAGTTGTAGTCCAGGTCAGATCACTCCTTGCTGTCTCGCCTGGCTGGCGGCTGGATTGTGGCCGAGTCCAATTTCACAAGGTTTCGCTTTTAATCTTTGCAAAACCTGCAGACCTTCAGAGACAGGTGTTCCTTTCCTCTATTGCATTCTTCTGACGCTGTTTTTGTCACTTAGATCAGCAGAGACGGATATTCCTGCCGCCTCCGCCAGGGATCAGGAAATGCGTCGTGTCCACAAATATCGCAGCAACATCTTTGACCATTGATGGGATCAAGTAAGAGTTCTCGATTGGAGGTTCAGCTGGGCCTGTGGTTGAACTAGGGCAGTGGTGGCGAACCTATGGCACGGGTGCGAGAGGCGGTGCTCAGAGCCCTCTCTGTGGGCACGCGTGCCGTCGCCTCAGTCCTAGGCCTTCAGCTGAGTTTTATAAAACCTTTTCGCTTTAGGCCTCCACCGCCGTGTGCAAAAAAAAAAAGGTTTCAACTTCTCGCAGGAAAAAAAAAGATCTTGCAAAGTTGGAATTGATTGATTGAACTTTTTAGTCCCACCCAGTCTGCCGTTACCACCGCAGCCACGCCCACCCAATGGGCCACACCCAGCCAATGGGCCACACCCACCCGGCACCCAACGATGCATAAGTGGGTTTTGGGTTGGAGTTTGGGCACTCAATCTCTAAAAGGTTCGCCATCACTGAACTAGGGAGTTGTTTAATGCAGTTAGTCGTCAAGTTACAACCGTACACATTGTCTTTGATTTACAAACATTTATTTAGTAGCCGTTTGAAGTTACAGCAATACTTTGAAAAGTGTCTTACGACCATAGCAGCATCTTTGTGATCACGTGATCAGATTTCAGAGGCTTGGCAACTGGCATGTACTTATGACAGTTGCAGTGTCCCAGGGTCAGCTGATCCCCTTTTGCGACCTTCTGACAAGCAAAGTCTTTGGGGGTGAAGCCAGATTCACTTAACAACCCTGTTACTGAATTTACAACTGAAATGGATTCATTGAACGAATGTGGCAAGAAAAGCGGTAAAATGGGGCAAAATTCATTGAACAAATGTCTCACTTAGCAACAGAAATGTTGGGCTCACTTGTGGTCCTAAGTTGAGGACTACCTGTAATTGAGCCTGGCAATTTACGGTTGTAAGTCATGAAGGTCGTGAAGTGGGTCATATGGAGGCAGGACTCCTTGCAGAAGCCAAGGGAGGGGTCTGCAATCACATTGGTAGTCCTTAACCATGTGAATAGAGGTGCGCTCCCAATTTGGTAAGATTTACATTTCTGTCTTCCCTTTTTTTTTCCAGGTATGTGGTTGATAGTGGGTTTGTGAAGCAGTTAAGCCACAACCCAAGAGTTGGCTTGGACGTGCTGGAGGTGGTGCCAATTTCGAAGTAAGCCCGATGGAAATCTTGGTTTAGCTTTGCATCCAGGTAGTCCTCAACTTATGACCACAATTCAGATCGGAACTTCTGTTATTATATGCAATGTGGTCATTAGGTCAGTCTGTCAACATCCAACTCGAGGATCCAAGTAAAACTTCAGATTCATTCCGTTTCCGAAAATCTTATCATTTATTGAATACACGGCATGGTAATGTCGAAGCAAAACTAACTCTGAGGTTCCCAGACACCAGTTCATAGAATTAAACAATAATTTCCCCGGCTAAACCCCCAACCTCCCCCGTACTCCATGTAAACAATTTCATTTTGTTATGGGAACCATCTGCTTCTTCTCCGCACCTGGTGCGGTGTCCTTGGAAAGGTTTCCAGCTCTGACGGTGTTCAGAAGAATCGTAGAGGTTTTGTTTCTCCATCTAATCCATTCTAAAGCAACACTTCCCCCCCCCTCCTTACTCTAATGGCAAGTTGAAATGAAGAGTTTCATTCTCGACGCAGTCATCGTGTCAGCACGCTTGATTTTACGATCTTTTTTTGCCAAGTGAATCACATGGCTGTTAAGTGAATCCTGTTTCCCCCCAATGTTGGAAGTTGGCTAGTAAAGCACTCGGTCTCTAAAAGGTTCGCCATCACTGCCCTATAGCAGGGCTTTTCAACCTTTTCACCCATTGTACCACTTTTAGGATATGGCAATATCCGAGTACCACCAGTCGCCTAGCAAGGTGTCAAAAACTTTCTCCTGTCTGAGGTTTCCATTGTTGTGAGCATTTCTGTTGAGGATTGGCAGCGGGGGTGGGGTGTGGGGTGTTTGGTTTTTATTCCCCCGTCTGCTGAGTGGTTGCAGCAGGTTTTGGTCACTTCACGTGACCCTGGTACACTGTGACCGTCATAAATATGAGTTGCCAAACATCTGAATCACAAGACCCTGGAGATGCTGCAACATTCCAGCTGATCGGCACTTCCTCTGGGCTCAGCAGAAGTGCCAGGATCAGCGCCGAGCTCCAGCTGGAGCCTGGCGTTGATCCTGGCACTTCCACTGAGCCCTGACAGTCCCAAAGAAGCACAGATCATCTGGAAAGCGGTACTGATCCTGGTGCTTCCGCTGAGCCCTGACAGCCCTGCAGCTCCAGCCATCTCTCGCTCAGGCTTGTGCGGTGCTGCCACCGGTTCAGTCATTCCCCTCCCCCGCTACCACTTTTATAGGATGGTCGCGTACCACCTGCCAGGTGCCAATGTACCACAGGTGGTACCCGTACCACTGGTTGAAAAGCCCTGCCCTATAGCATCGTCTTGAGGGAAGAAGTTGAAACACTTTATGTCCAGATTGTGTGGGGCCTGTAGATATTTTCTCAGCCCTCTTTCTGGTTCCTGAAGTATAGACATCCTCAGTGGAAGGCAGGCTGGTTGCGACTGTTTTTTTCTGTAGTCCTAACTCTTCGTTGAAATCCGTGTCTGTCTTGTTTGGTTGCAGTGCCAAACAAGACAGATATAGAGGTGCAGATGACAGACTCAGATTACTCCTCCTCCTCCTCCGATGACTACCACATAACATAGTGGGAAACGTGCCTTGCCTCTTAAGATAGAGGGTCTTGAATCTGTGGCCAGCGGGCCGCAGGAATGGCTGGCGAGTTCACGTACATGTGCATGCACTCCCCACTCACTCTGGCAGCTCCGTTTGCGCATGTGCGGGGGTGCTAGCGACACCACAAGCATCATGCGGTCGCTAGCAGCCCGTTTGCACATGTGCATGGCCACTAGCGGCCTGTTTGCGGGTGCTAGCATCCCGCTTGCACGGGCGCGCAAGCACCAGCACTACCGCCTGCACTGCTGCGGGTGCACGCAGTTCACTTGCGCATGCGGTCCACTTGCGCATGCGTGCAATGCTGGCGCCATCGTACATGTGCCTGTTTGTGCATGCACGCGTGCACAGACACACTTCTCTGCTCTTCCCTTTCCCTCTGGGATCTCTGTCTTAAGACCAAAAAGGTCCATGAGCCAGGCAACATTTCAGAATTTTGCCAAATAAAAAATTGAGATGTTCTGTTTTTCAATATACTGCTTCTAGGAGCGAGGCGGTGCAGCGTGCAGGCCGAGCCGGTAGAACAGCATCTGGGAAATGCTTCCGGGTTTATAACAAGGAATTCTGGGAACAGTGCATGCCCGATCACATGGTTCCAGAGATCCAACGGACCAGTTTGACCTCAGTGATGCTGACTTTGAAGTGCCTGGCCATCCACAACGTCATCAGGTAACCCTTGGCATGGGTCTTGTTCGTCAAATGCTGAGTTAGGAAGCCGTGTTCCGATTGGCGCTCAGCCTCTGGAGCTATTGTTTTTTTCTCTGCCCAGCCTACCCTGCAAGTTTGTTGTTGGTACAGGTAGTCCTCGACGTATGACCACAATTGAGCCCATCATTTCTGTTGCTAAGCAAGATAGTTGTTTAGTGAGTTTGGCCCCATTTTATGACCTTCCTTGCCACAGTTGTTAAGTGAATCACTGCAGTTGTTAAGTTAGTCATGTGGTTGTTAAGTGAATCTGACTTTCCCCGTTGACTTGGCTTGTCAGAAGGGGATACATGTAATCCCGGGATACCGCAACCATCATAAATATGAGCCAGGTGCCAAGTGTCTTGAGTTTTGATCCCATAACTGTGGGGACGCTGCAGTGGTCACATGAAAAACGGTCCTAAGTCTCTTTTTTCAATGCCGTTGTAACTTCAGACAGTCACTAAACGAATGATCGTAAGCCGACGACTACCTGTATTTGGAGATTATGTTTTCCAACCAGGAATTTTGCACAGCCTACATAAATCAGATGGTGCTTTTATTGATTTCCACATTGGTCTTGCCAGGTCCACCAGGTAGACCGGATCAGGAAATCAACTCCATAG